CCATCCTTCAGATAAAGTGTGTCCCTCCATGAGACCCATACCTGCAATAAACAGAGTTGTCAGACGTGCATCAGTGCCAAGCTTCATTGATACTAACTCCAGATAAGTTCAGAGGCCGGAGGAGTGATGAACTCTTATAAAGCGTGACTTATAAACAAAAACTTCAAATACAACAGCGACCTTTAAACTCCGTCCACCTCTGATATTGACACACACCTTCTGTCTTACCCAACGCCTTCAAGTGTGACCTTTGACTCTTGTTTTACGTGAGTGTGTCATAGAGAAACAGCTTATGTGCTAACGCCCTCACAAATGTATGTATGTGTGCACTGCAGAGGACGGAGACAGGCTGCTTAGATGCCATAAAATCCTTCTTACCTAAAAAATACCACAGCCCGATTGTCGGTGAGGCGATCAGCTGGTCCACCAGAACCTTCTTTCCCACCGTGTTCATAGCTCTACCGACGTACACTCTGTCCAGCCAGCCGTACCAGTGGTGCAGCAGTGGACCCATTGAGCAGCCCACCGCAAACATACAGCCTATAGGGAGAAAGAAATAAGGAAAAAAGGAATGAATGGCGCTGAGGTTCATTCAAAATGTAACACACATTATCCAAAATACCATATTCTTTATTAAGAGGTGGAGATTTGAGCGTACTGTACTTTATTAGGATGAAAAATAGTTTAGAATTTGCTGTTTTGTATTGAATAATGGAGATTCAATCTGTTAACAGAGTAATGTGCACTAAGAAAGATATTTATAATAATAAACATTAATATTTTTCTTGTAAACCTTCTTTATCTAACACACTCTGGTCTATACTTTTCTGTGTGTGCAGTTGGTCATTGTTAGAAAACAAACCCTGACAGGGTGAATCAGGACACTGACGTAAAGTAGATCCTGTTTATTGCACACTGAGTGAGGCCAGTCATCAGTCATGGGGAGAAACAAGGCACCAGCACCTCCAGTATTGACAGTATTATTCTCACATTGCAATAATTACATCACCCTGGCTCCACTTTTCCCTCTCTCACCTGTCCTCCTCCAGTCTCGGACTCTGTCTTGCTGCTTGTGGATCTCCCGGCTCTGCTGCAGGAAGTCTCCCAATCCCAGCATGACTCCTCCACTCAACGTGTTGGTGAGGATCAGGTACCGGCCCTGGAAAAACGGCCGCCAGGAGAACCGTATCCGGACCAGAAACTCTTTACCCGCCCGGGGAAGCATGATGTTTGGACTGCAGAGAAAGAGCTGTCATCTGCAGGAGAAAAACACCTCTCTGTCTCTCTCTGTGGAAAAGATGTTTTTCTAAAGCCTATAAAAGAAAAAACAAGGATTTTCGTTATTTCACCAGCGTGTTTCGGCATAAAGGCTTGAGGGCGATCTCCCATAAGTGTAAAACACACAAGCTATATGTCTAGTCTACAAGACAGCTGAGTCTTTATCAGTTAATTCAATGAGAGAGCTGCACCTACAAAATAAAAGCACACAATATAAAACAAACATCACACTGTCACAAAACACCTTCACTAAAAATAAGAGAATATAAAACCCGTGTGACTATTTAAAGCTGGTATTACTACAAAACTTTTAGAAAATCATGTAAAATAAAATAAAAACGACCATAAAACTTTCCTGTGGTAAAATTCATTTTGTATTTGGCTGTATACTTCTAAAGAGTTTAAACCCAGAAAACCTCTCTTCATTTCCATAGTAAGTTAATATCACCCACTCTGGGCTCCAAATTGATCTGATCAATACAAAAAAGAATATATATATTGTTTGGCCTCCAGCTAAGTTTTGTTGTAACATTATGAACAGCCGTCTGCAGCTGGCCTCATTAACAAGGCCCGGATCCCCCACTGACACTGACTCTTATACCCACCCTATATATGCATTACATTAATGCACTCCCGTCTTCTGTACAGTCTTCTTATCTTTATTTATTTATATTTTTAAAAAGTACTTCATTCTTGTGTGATTTTTGTGTGATTTGTATATTTTAAGCACCATTGCACCAGGACAAATTCCTCGTATGTGTAAAAAAAAAAAAAAAAGTGTAATAATGTTTCAGCCTTTGTTTTGCATTGAATAAAAACACTATATAATAATATATATATATATATATATATTATATTTTGTGTATATTAATATACATATATATATATCATATATATA